GATACCGTAAGTTTACAATCAATAAAATAAATAATAACATTATTGCATTTGCCTTGTCGATGTATTACAGGTGATTGTCAAATGATAATAGTATTGGAATGTTATGTTATAATGTGTTTGTAAACAAGACGCCCACCATGCTGACTCGTGCGCTGAGTTGGGCAAATATGAAAACAAGTTTCGGCTATTTCTGCCACCATAATAATTTTGTCATTTGCATTTTCGTGGTTCCGTGGACACGGATTTTCTGCTCTTACTGAAATTATAATCCAAAAAGTGAGCAAAAACGACGAAACCTCGTTTTAATTTTATTTGTTCCCCAAAACAGGTACACTCATCGCATTATCATTTACATAATAAATTTGTTAACATTATTTTAATCAGTACGAGGCAATTATAAAAGCTATGAGAACTACTGACATAATGAACGGGAAATTAAGACGTATTAGAATTTCAATAAATGTTAGATTTTTGGCAAAGAATATTTCATTGCAGAGCTTTGCCTAAAACGATCTCAATTACCTCAATATAGCGCTCATACTCAGTCATATTGTATCCCTCCTTCTATAAAACAATGGGCTAACGCTCGTTTCTGCACTTGAATGCAGGTTGAAGTTTGAGAAACGAATGACTTGAACTACCAACGTATATGAGGAATTTTATCACCATTCCATTTTTGCTTGATCAGTTTTTCAACCGACCAGCTTTATACAATATACCTGCTTTCCATGTCGCCGTCATGATTATGATAATAAGGTGGGCTTTCGATGAAGCCCAGCAAAATATCAACTATCTATGCAGCTATATTCTTTTACAACGTTCATGGCTACAATTCATCAGTTCGTTTCTCGTTACTTATATTGTTACAGCGGTTCCATTCTGGAGAAAGTCTAAACTAAAGTTGAAGGAGGATTGCATTTGTTTCATAATTTCATATTAATGTAACATATATATATATACGGAGACATCATGAACTATACAAACGCGTAGACCGTATTCATTAATTAACATATTACCGGATTAATGGTCATTCCAGTCCATGTAATTGTGAATTGAGAGTCTCGACAAAACAGATAGATGAAGCCATAAGTTTTTTATTGAACAACAAAACGGAAATATATATTGAATATTCCATCGAATATTAATTGTGAATTTAGAGCTTTGAAAGAAACATGTCGATGAAGGCATAATTTTTTGTTTTGTACATCACGGCGGAAAATACAGATTATTCCAGCCCAATTCCAAATCTTAGTCCTGAGGAAATGTCATAAAAAGACTAGAAAGGTTCATAGATATATTATAACATTTTTGTATAGCTAGTGTTCTTTTTCCCACTGTTGAGGTACACCCTTGCCGTCTGGAATGTTCCTATTTTTGTTTGTTACTAAGAACATTTCGGTGATGCATTCTTACCTTGTTACAATGTCTTACAATGTTTCAGATTTCTAACTTCTTCTTGTAATTCCGTAACTGTTGATCCATATACTGCTATTGAATCTTGCACTTCTGTAAAGAAAGATAATATAACATAATGAAATCTTATAGACGAGAACGCTCTATTCGTATTGTCAGTATAGCAGCATTTCATGATGTCGGCTTTTTGAAAATATGAATGTGACTTGAGAAAATTTAGACATTACGAAAAACTGACTTTGATTAACTTTGTTTTCCAATTTCAAACCGATAGCTTCATAATTCACATTTCCCGGGGGTTCCATCTCTCCTTTCCTTCCTTGTATTTCTCTTTTCCTAGCCTCCCTCACAAATGGTATTACTTTATACTAAGTAATAGGGTATTAGTATCTTAAGGGTAACTGAAGCACGTGCATGTTGATGATATGAATATTTATCGTATTTTACGTGTATTAGGATCAAAAAATGAAATCCGGTTCTTCGGATTTTAAGAATTTGTTTTGGGTTGAAGATAATTTACAAAGCGGTACAGATGATATTAAAAACGGAAAATAGATTCAATAATTCCCTTCCCAGTAATTAGTTAAGCCAGGTGTTCTTAACTTGATTAGACTTATGTTATAATTTCTATATAACAAATTAAAATCGTCAAATCAAGATTGTAACCTTTCATTCACCATGTGGTGTAGGAAATATCCCGTCATTTTAATTATGGACACATGGTTGTGTTTTTGAAAGTCTTACGCAGTAAATTCATATTCGGTCGAATGAACTAATTTCTCATTCGAAATTTGATACCAATACTTAATTGTATGTAATATCCCCATGCTTTATAGCACACGAGTCTCACATATATTTAATTTAGCCAACTTGGCTGTCTACTCCGGCCAATAATCTGGCATGCGTGAGTTGTCTCGCAGGTCGCTCTCTTATCATTGGTTTGCACCTCTGCACGCGCACCTCTGCCATCGAGCTCTGTAATTTTGTTATTTAATTGCAAGTTCTATTTTTCATGTTCGTTTACTTTATTTAGCTAGTATTTGGAGTGATGTTCATATAATTAATTGTGAGTGACTGCCCGAATAAACCAACCAGGTTGTGTTTTTGAAAAGTCTTCCGCAATAGATTCATTCATATACGGTCAAATGAACTGGTCAAATGATTTCCCATTCAAAATATGATAACAATAATTGAATGCATGAAATAAATTCATGCAACCACTTGTAACATTACAAGAGTAACCCTGGTGCGGTTCATAATTTTGCAATCAATATATACTGGATGATAACTGCTTATATTTGTATTAATTGTAAATATTATTTGCTTTGCACGAAATTAATTGCGAAGTGCTTATGATATATACCTAATAAAACGAAAATTGCACGTATTATCGCCAGCTTTATAACGCACTATTCCCAAATATATTTAATTGAGCTAACTTGGCAATAATCTGGCATCTGTGAGTTCTCCCTCGGGTCGCTCTTTTTCTTATGTGTTTTTAGTGAGCGCAACTCTGCCATTAACCTCGGGGAATTTGTTACTTGTAAGTTCTATTTTTCATATATATTTGTTTGATATATTTAGCTAATATTTGGAGTGATGGTCATATAAATAGATTGAACTTTGTGTAACTGTCTGAATAAACTGACCCACTGATGTTGATTACTGCAATAAAGTCGAAGCAATAAATGTTGGATGGTCTATTATTTGGGATCGGGCTTTTAAAGTATTTCTGGTGTTACCGCAGATTGAATCACACAATATCATTCCATATATGTGGTTTGTAAATGTTGTCAATACACGATAACAATCAAATTCGTTTTTAAAATACAGTAACGTTAGAGATGGAATTCTTAGTGTCGATTTGACTCATATTTTCCATTTCCCAATGCAGATCACTGTAGTTCAGCTTTATTATGTTTCATTATTGATCTTTAGTATAAACAAACGGTGACTGGGATATTGCGACTAGATTTCAGAATCGAACCGAATATTTTTTGAATCAAATCTAGAATACTGGTCAGATATGCAATTGTATGTAACTTTTCATTGTTATGGGTTCTTCAGACACACAAATTAAAGAAAACATCGAATCCACTTCGCGTACAGTTAGCCGAGTGTTCATACATAAAAAAAAAATGTGTTTTATGAATAACGCACCAGGAAGAAAAAAACATACGTCAGAAGTACATTCTGAAAATATGGCTTCATATAAAATTAAGGAATCATTAGAGTATGAAGTGACAAAAATAAGAATATTATGATATCAAGGTATATACTTGAAATATCCTTTACATTTAATATTTGATGAATAACATATGACTACAGTTTTATAAACAATTATTTAAAAAATCCTGACTAAATAAAAAAAACATTGATCTTGTGGAAGGGCCCATTTCCAGATCGCTCATCTCCAAAATTGAGACTTAGAAATGCATTTGTGTACAACAATTCTTATACATGAACTAATTATTTGAATACACAGACATTTAGTCCATAATCCTATTTTCAGATTAAATATCAACGGTATTGCTTTATAAATTATCTTCAATAAAAGTAAATTCTTAGACTAAGATCAAACTTGTAGAACTTGTAACGTGTAATAGATACATAAGTGTGTTATCGATATGCAAAGTTAGTTAGTTTTAGTTATCCCAAAAATGCTTATTATTAGCTCAAGTGAAAGGTTCTTGACGTTGAAAATTTTACTGTTACATATCTATCTAAATAAATCATAACAAATCGAGATTTATTGGCAGATGAATGAAGACCGAGTATTTCAACTCCATCATTAAATATTTACAGCGTCAACAGACAAAAAGTATTTTGCTTCGAAGATAAGCTGTTTTATCATAATTTTACAATGAACAGAAATTACTAACTTTCTTGGGCAATTTCAACCCAAAACATCATAATGCTCTGTTCTTTGCTCATGAGTTATTTTTGAAAAGATATTTCTATATTCAGTCTAGTAAATTTTTCTTCAATTGAAACATATTTCTTTATTTAGCGATTAGTATTTTACTCGTTATAACTTAAATGTGATTTAGGATAGTTTAAGTACAGACATGAATTAATCCAGAGTTTGGTATAATATACTGCGTTCAAAACTTGTAACGACGTAGAAAATGAGTGAGAATTAAAAATCTTTAAGTAGAAAATGTTGCAGGGAATCTTGAAGTTGATGATACTTTGCTTGTGATGAATAAAATTTGTTTTGTTACCTGTTCAGTTATTAGAAGTCCCACAGTCTTGCATTTTTTTTTCAATTTTGCTCGAAGTAATATTAAATTTTATGTATTAGGTATATAAAAGATAGGATCAGTAAAAGCATCATTTAATATGAATTGGTTACTTTTATTGAGACCAATTTACATAATCCAGTATGCCGTAAAGATAATCGGATTTTAGTACAGCAACATCAAGAAAAAAAACTATTGTTGGAATGTATTCGCATAATATTACAGCGTTGTCCGTACACATTTGTAAAATCAATGACTAAATAGCGTAAACAAATCACGGTAAATAATTTCTGTTTTGAGCAAGGAAATAATATAATTCAGATATTTCATATCCACATGATACTTTCTTAGATATATATAAACAAAACCAAATATGGAGTTTTCTATTACATTTACCTTTCTCTCGTTGATGATCCTGACCAAGTCGTTCGGAATCGATGGAACAAATCATTTTATTTGCAAAACAATTGAGGAGGCGTTTCAGAAAGTCAAATTGACAGTGGCGATGCTTCAAGTCACTCTACAATACAGCACATTCAAGGGAGCCAGGAAAGAGACAGGAATACAAGGAATGAAAGGAGAGATAGGACCACCGGGAAATGTGAATTATGAAGCTATCGATTTGAAATTGGAAAGCGAGGTTGATCAAAGTTAGTTTTTTTTTTTAAACTTTATATCTTCTTAGGCCACGTTCGTATTTCAAATAAAAGAGCCGACATGAAATGCTGCTAAACTGCTAATACAAATCACCAGCTTTCAAAAAAAACTTGACATAGAGGAATATTATATTGTTTTATGCGCAATTGTTTTCCATTTGTAAGATGTTATCTAATTTCACAGAAATGCAAGAATCAATGAGAGAATATGGATCAACAGTTGCAGAATTACAAAAGAAGTTAGAAAGTTGAAACAACGACAAGGTAGGGATGCATCGCCAAATCTTTCCAACAAATTCAAAGAGAAAAAATGAAACAGTCCGGGCAGGATAGTTGTAGCTTGTGGAAAAGTGGAATGAAGTGTATTTCACCAGGATTTCGATATGCTTTTAAAAGTACAATCACAATCTATACGATCACATCAACTGGAATTTCTTTTTTTATAGATTTGTGCAAGGTGCTCTACGCTGACAAATGTTTCTGGTTCGTTCTTCATAATACCCAAGATGTAACATATTCTCAAATTAACGAACTTTGTGCTCAAGAAGGTGGAACGCCGGCAAACATCTACGGAAGAAATCATTTTGAAGAGTTAAATGCATATGTGGATTCGATCGCCCAGCATAAAACGTTTTTCACTGGAATGACCATTAATAACTCGGTAATATGTTGGTTCTATCTTTAATTTACTTTCACGTTGACTAGATTGTCGTCAAAATAGTAATGGTCTTTGATCAAATGCCGTGTTTTAACATAATTTTGGATTTATAGGGTAGAATTGAGTTTAGTAATCATTTGTTTATATTATTATGAGGTATTGATTCGACTCCAATAAAATTTTTAAAATAGACATGAAGTGAGTCGCCTACTCTGATTCGATACATAGTCGAACCGACAAACGCTGGCGCCACTTGACTCAAATAAAATTTTGATTGGGTTTTTGTTAGAAAATCCAATATTTGTTTTTTAATAACCCAAGTCTACAGAAAAGACAGTAAACATTTATTACCGGAATCTCCTTTGTAATTTTAATATATCCAAAAATTATGCAATGGATATTGAAACTTTATTTCTTCATTTTCAACACAAAGAAAACAGAACCGCGGGCAAATAAAACTTACTTTGCTATGACTATCAGCTTAAAACGTTCCCTGGCTTCATATGGAATTGCCATTTTTTTTAGAACAAAATCATCACGATGAATAACGGGATTAAAGCAAGTTGGACTGTTGCAGATATGAAGTGGTACCCCAATCACCCGTCAGGCAATGCCGACTGGACTGTACTTGCTATTCACACTGACCGCAATCCAGGGGCTTCACAAGGAATGCACAACTGGCCTAAAAGTTATAGGAGGCATGGAGTTTTTGTGAAAAATAAACACCATAAAAACTGATGAGTGATAACACTTGAAATTATTCTGAATTTACAAGCAGAATAAAGCAAAAGTTGAAAGTTTGAATATAATAGCAGCAACAACTTAATCACTTTTTTCTAATTTGTATTATATAATCGTAAATAAAAATTTTATCACCAATACATATTTCGAAACTCAAACTTGTACTTTTTTTCCAAAACTATTTCGCTCCATTTATGAGCGATTCGGATAACCGACGTTTTTTTGTTTCACTATCAATTCTTCATCCAAACAAGCTAACCGAGATCGCTTTCAAATTCATCATAGTTTTGACCATCATAAGTCAACAATGGAATTACAAAATAAGAAGAGCAAACAAAACCTTGAATAAGGTTTTAAACTTACAGAAATTAAATTGATATGTGTTCACTCGCCTAGAAATATAATATTAATTCACACACACTTACTTAGACCACAGAATATATATATATATATATAATAATAAAATAAGAATAATGGCTAACTAACTTCTGAAATCGACATGTTCCGTATAAAAACAAGTATAATTTTTTTCTGTAAAACTGTATAAAAACGCGAGCCTGTTCAGAGTTGGTATTTTTTTTTTTCATTATGCCAATATAAATGGCGTTAAAACTTTTAAAATATTTGTAAGATATAACAATATATTATCAAATACTCACTTGACTTTTTTCTGGGTTTGTTCATGTAATAGATACCGGTACATTCTTTATCGATTTTTCTTCATGGGACTTCACTTCGTACTGACTAACGCCAAAGATAAATGTTGGTTTCTTTGCGTACGATCGTACAAATGTGCAGCCATATATGACTTTGTGGTGTGTTTAAAAGTGGCTAAAGTATATATATGCGCTCGCTTCTTTGAAAAATCGAAAAGCAAGCCACCAAGTTCGCGAGAACAAAGTTATCTATATTCAATCAGAACACAATCTGAATTCCCTACATAATTGCCTTCCATTATGCGGAGCTGACTACTATCAAGTTGAAGTTCGTTGCCAAAAAGATGTGAGACTTTTTAATATCGAAATGAATTCCAACTGCTGCATTGAAAATTATTTTTTTAGGTTGTTTTCAAGTTTTTGCTCTCCTATTTTTAAATTTGACTTCTTATAAAGGTCAAAAGTTTTAACATGTAGAAATAAGAAGTTGAATGAATGCGTTTCCTCTTCTGAACTCGAATCAGTTTCGCAATCCGTGACGAAAAATGAAGTGCGTTCTTCGTTAGTTCTTCACGCTACTAGACATTGACTTTAAATGAACTTTATCCAATTAGTCAGTAATTTATATTTTAAATTATAGTTAAAGTATAGGTGTATTCGAACCGAACTCAAGTTAGTCAAACGAAATTAAATATACATTATGATGACCACATTTATATTCGCAAAATTTGTACGTAAACTGGGTTTAATATTTCTGTTACAGACGATGTTGTTAATGTGCAACAGGTGTAGCGATTGTTGAGTATATATCATTAGATTATATGTTGTCGCCTACTAATTTAATCGCCGAATTCTTCATTTGTCACTGATCATTTGCTAATGTACGTACTTATATATTAGGCTTGCACATCGCACAATATCACTCCATATTCCTAGTTAGACGATTACATGAGTTATTAGCTACACTGGTTTGTGAATGTTGTCAATACACGATAACCGTCTAATTCGATTTTTAAAATAACGTTATAGATGGAACTCTTAGTGTCGATGTGACTCATATTTTTCCATTGACCAATTGCAGATCACTTTAGTTCAGCTTTATAATGTTTCATTCTTGATAATTAGCATGAAAAAAACGGTGACTTTGATATTGTGACTATAGGGCACGGCAGCATTTTCGAATACCTGATGATTCCTGAATCGAATATTTTTTCGAATCAAATCTAGAATACTTGAAAGTTATGCAGCGGTAACTATTCATTGTTATTGTTCCTCTCGTACAGCTAACCGAGAGTTCACACGTGAGAAGAAACATGTTTCATGATTGACGCACTAGGAAAAACAAACCTATGTCAGAAGTATATATATTTTAAAAATATGGCTTCATATATTATTTAAGTATGAAGTGACAAATATAAGTATATTATGATATCGAAGTATATACTCAAAATATCATTTACTTTTAATATTTGTTTAATAACATATGGCTACAGTTCCGTAAACAATAATTTAAAAAAATCCTGGATAAATAAAAAAAAAACATTGATCTTGTGGAAAGACCTGCATATCATATCATCGGGATTGCTTTAGGAATTATCTTCGATTCAAATTAAATTCTTAGACTAAAATCGAACGAACTTCTAACGTGTAATAGATACATAAATGAGTTATCGAAATGCAAAGTTAGTTAGTTTTGATTACTCTAAAAATGCCTATTATTTCCCTAACGATTCAACAGCTGACATATTTTTTATGCATACTTTTATGATTTTAAATCGAAATGTGAAGTTTACTGTGATTGTCTGCAGTATTTTATTCGAAAATGACTAAAATCGATTGTTACAGTTGAAGCCTGTCAATATTTTCATGCAAAATGGCTTTGTTCCCACGTATCCTTCCTCTTGACCAGAGATACATCACATTTTGTTACTAAGCTAGAAAATATCTATACATAAGTCAAGAAGACCACGTATACTTGAACTCGATTTTGAACTTGACTGATTGCAAAATCCTTGCAAGAAATTTTCATTCATTTTTTAAGCGCATCCAAATCGTTGAGTGTCTTCTTCATACGTCATTTATTTGTTTCGATAAGTTGTAAGCGTTGTGCAGAACAGGGTGGTCCAAACTCAGGCATCATTACAGGAGCCCGCGTTCTATTTGCTGGCGTAACTATCAGCGGTATAAGGTACGGCTACTCATCTGTCGGATCGCGTTTCGAAGTCAAATATTTCGAGTATTCGGACCGCATGTGCTTCTTTATTTTAGAAGCAGTATAGTATCCTTTTTCAATCAAAGACAATTTAATCAGACATATTCAAAATTTTCACTGAACCGCAGACGAGCAATGAATGTGTATCCAAGTATCGACTTACTTGTTTACTTTCGTGATATTGGCTTATCAGCGTAACGTCAAGAGTGGCATTGGGATTAAAATTTCAGCGACCGTTCAGCCCTTTATGTAGTCAGATTTTCAGACACGGTATATCAAATATCAGCCTGTCCAGCGGTATTTTTGTAATTTTCTTAAGTTTTGAATATTTATTCACGAATCAGAACGCTTTTTTCAACAATCAATGAAACGTTAGATTTGGAATTTTCATTACTGGAAGATGATTGAAATCCCAAGAAAGCTTTTGATATTTTCAAAATACAAAGTCCTGTGAAGTCGGATAAATCGTGGTAAACTTTTATAACTTATTTTAATATATGAAACACTATTTGAAATATGGACACACTTTATTCTGTCACGCTTGCCTGACTGTATTTGTAACGATTGTTCGTCTATGTGCATAGCTCTCAGTTATTTAACGTAGGCCTAGCCATACCATTACCGATGATCGAGGTTCGTGTACATTTATTTGTGAATTTCCCTCTTGTATTTGATTTGTAATTCATTACGAATTTGATATTTAAAATTTGTGAGAAAGTACATGACTTAATGATTTTGAAGTTTTGTAAACTGATCTTTGGTGAAGATAATAGCCCCGGTATAAGCCATCATGCATTATGAATTTAGGGCTGGGAATGGTTAACCGGCTAACCGATTTTAGATGGTTAACGGTTACGAGTTATTTTAACCGTTAACTGACATCTCGGTACAAATCATCTTTATAATGCACAATTCTTTCAAAAATGATTACGTCATTGCAATTTATCTCCTGTGGCGTTTAATTCGAGAGAATATCGCTAACTGTATTGGTAAGAAATAAGAACCCAATAAATGTGAAAAATAATTGAAGTACCAAGATCGCTGATTATGAAACTTGACAATAATTAATTATGAATCAGTTTTTCGGTCAAAATATACTGTTCACGATTTTATTCCAAATCGTATATTCAATGTCAACCAACAAGTGCGTAGTAAGTAGTTGATGCTGTTTTTCTTTATATATCTCAAAGTAGGATTTGCACATCGAACACTGAAAATTTGACACGTAAATGACATTAAATACCGGAATCGGGTTTTACTAAAATATTCTATATGTCCTACCCACGCTGCATATCTCTTGCAGCAGAGCGATCATGAAACTATCTCGAATCGTGAATAATTTTGAGCGATACCGGGATAAGGTCACGTGAAATTGCTTTGTAACCGTTGTGACGTAACAAGTTAAAATTATGGATTATTATGTGAAACGTCACGCTGCGGTTAACCGGTTAATTTTACCCGGTTAACGGTTAAAATGTTTTCACTGATATTCCGTGTTGGTTTCCAACATCCTTAAATCGGTGATGCCAGTAAACTTTAATACAAAAAGATCAGTAACATCTGCAATAAAAACAGCAGTACCCACTCAAATGACAGCTGGGGATGGATACTCTTAGTATCTGCTCCATCGCGTGCCTCTTACAGTCTTACCAGTTTACATGCGTGTCAATGGTATCTAAGCTCAGCCAGAGACAAGTTTCGGACTGCAGTTGGCGTGACGAAATGTTTTTAAATATTTATTCAACAATAAGATTATTTGATTGCATACTACTGAAAGTTCCGCCTTATATGTCTTTTCCCGTTGCACTATTCCTTTACTGATATTCGATAATATGACGCTCATCTGACATAGTTCTTAAAGTGTGTAGATGGGTATAATCTTTTCCACGCTGTTCAGATGGAATGCGCGAATATATATAAGAATTGCTAATATTGGTTTGCAATGCGATGAAATCCCATCTTGGCATTTCTGCCTCTCGCAATTGCTGCGTATACTTATCGGGGAAGTTCTGTGGCGTGGTTATCGAATGAAAAAAAACATGGAAGTATTTTTTCTACTTCTCTACTACCATCAAACATTTTGTGAAAACTTTTTTCCATGCAACCTTTTTTAAAACATCCCCAACAACCACAATTAATTTGTTATTAAACTTCCGAAACAAACACATAAAATCATCAACAGATGCATATCACCAAGTAGATATTGCTGAATTGATATTTATTTTACCATTTTTCATGTAATTCTTTTTGGTAAACCTGTTATCTATCGTAAATACAGC